GGGCGTAGGTGCTAGCGTGAAACAAGAAGATTGGACCATGTGATGGATTGTGGGTGTGGGGACAAGATCATGAACTTTTAACTGGGTGGGATTCTAATGTCATTTCCAGAATTGGGATTCCATAGCAATGTGCTAAGATGTCTGCTTTATTAAATTGGAACTTTAAGGAACGTTTTGCCTAGGACTCTGCTTTAATTCTACATGATACTTGGAATGCTGACATTATCCCAATTCTGGAAATGACATTAGAATCCCACCCAGTTAAAAGTTCATGATCTTGTCCCACACCCACAATCCATCACATGGTCCAATCTTCTTCTTCCAAGCTAGCACCTAGGCTCAGCTGCTTCCGGTCAGGTGCAAAGGTGTGGAGACGAAAGATGACCTTGAGTTTCTAGAAAGCAATATTTTTATTTTGAAAACAACACATTCTATCCCTTGCTATCCCCCCCCCCCCTTAATGAGACTGTGGCAGGCCAAAGATTCTTAAAGGAACCACTGCAGGCCTGACAAAAATGAGACAAAACCTGCTTAACATCATCCTCAGATTGGAACCATTCTGCTTTGAGTTGGGGCTCAAAGCTTTCATCTCAAATTCCAAACAGGATGTTTGAGGCGATAACACTGTTTAGTTTGTATTTGAGTGATGCGGTGGCCTATAGGCGGAGCTCTCGCCTCACAATCAGGAGGCGGTGAGTTCGATCCTAGGACAGATATTTCTCTCTCTGGCCACATTGTGAATATCTGCCAAATAGAACTCCGCATTGGTGACAGGAAGGGCATCCAGCCAGTAAATCACTCAGTTCCATTCAGTTGCCCAGACTCCACCCCGTCATTAAAAGAAGATGATGATTATTTTGTTTGTATTTATTTAGATTCTATTTCAACTTTTTACTAGTTTTGTGCACTCCTTAACATATATTTTTTTGTTGGTGTTGTTCCTCTTTCCACTTCAGGTCACAGTAACGGATGGAGGGGTCTCTCCCAAGCAGTCTACGGTATGGCTAGTGGTGCAGGTTTTGGATGAAAACGATAACAAGCCTCAGTTCCCAGAGAAAGTCTATCAGGTCAAGTTGCCTGAAAGGGACCGGAAGAAGAGAGGGGAGCCCATATACCGAGCCTTTGCCTTCGACAAGGACGAAGGCTCCAACGCCGAGATTTCCTACAGCATTGTGGATGGAAACGAAGACGCCAAGTTCTTCATTGACCCCAAGACCGGGATGGTTTCTTCGCGAAAGCAGTTCACTGCGGGGAGCTACGACATCTTAACCGTAAGACTTCAAGACTGGAATAAGCTTTAAGAACTGGTTTTACTGTTTTTAAGTACTTTATGGGAAGTCCTCAACTCACGACTGGCCATTTAACAACCACAAATTACGACGGGCCTAGAACGAACATTTTACAAACGTTTTAGTCATTTTAAAATATCATGCCTCACATACACACACACTTGCACGCCACATATATATATAATATATATTATATATATTATATATATTATATATATTATATATATTATATATATTATATATATTATATATATTATATATATTATATATATGTGTGTGTGTGT